AATTTTGTTCTAGCCCAGAAGGAGTTTGTATCCACGGCTGATAAATCTCGAGTGGCTGTGGCAGCTGCTCCTTGCTAGACAGGGACCGGTCAGGGCCCAAACTGCCCGGGGCTGTGGGAGGCAGGCCAGGGGGCTGGCAGCAGGCTGAGCAGGTAGTGATGAGCAAGAGAGAGAAAGAGTATGTGTGTATGAGAGAGAGAGAGACAGAGACAGAGAGAGACGGAGACAGAGAGTGCAGTGGCCACATTGGACCCTGCCGGCCATGGACTGAGTGTGGGCTTGGGGGCTGGGGGGTGATGGTACTTGGAGATGGTCATAATGAAGGCGGAGCTCGGGTTAGATGGGAAGAGGATGGACAGCGAGCGGGCAGGACCGGTCAGCTGAAGGCTGTGGCTGAGGACCCTGCCCCCCGCCCATGCAGAATCTATATCTTAAATAAAAGCCAGTTTGCCAGCGTGCACGTCTTCCGGGCCGCCGCAGCAGATGCAGCGCAGCCCTCTGCACGGTGGCCTGCCGGCCTTCCCCTGGCTAAGCAAGGCCAGGGGAGCTGTAGCTCCGTGGCCGGCCCCTGTGTGGCGAGGGGAAGAGCCCCCTCTGCCCCCTCTGCCCCTCTGCCTGTAGCACCGGCCTGGCAAGGCAGAACTTCCAGCTCCCAGTGACCCAGAACCAGAGGCAGGAGCCGTGAGAGCCCTGTGGGCAATCCAAGCCTCTGGCCAGCCAGCAATGCCTCCAGAGGAGGCTGGAGGAGGCCAGGACGGGCCAGGCATGGAGTCCACACACCGGCCTTTGCACATAGCGCCGGGGACGGGGATAGAGGTTTGAGTGAAGCCCTGTCGGCCACTTAGGATTCTGAACTTGCTATTAAGAACCATGTGCAGCCGGGCGCTGGAGGCTCACGCCTGTGTCCCAGCTCCTCAAGGGACTGAGATCTGAGGATCACGGTTCAAAGGCAGCTCAGGCAGCAATAGCCATGAGACTCTTATCTCCAAATAACCAACAGAAAACCAGAAGTGGTGCTGTAGCTCAAATGGTAGAGTGCTCACCTTGAGCTGAAGAGCTGAGGGACAGTGCCCAGGCCCAGAGTTCAAGCCCCATGACCAACAACCACAAAAGAACCATGCTGCAGACGCACAGCACGGTCGATAGAATGAGCTCAGGATGCACAGCACTGTGCATGGAATGAGCTGTGGATGCACTGCGCTCAGCTGATGGACTGAGCTGGATTCTCGCATCAGACCTCACTGATTTGGGGACAGGCGCAAACCTCACTCTAGTGGGAGGCCAGGCCAGGCACCGTCTTCACACGGCTGGCAGCCGTCGTTTGCTGCTTTTGTCCCGTTTCTGTCATTTCTGTATTTGACATTCTTTACCCTGATTAATTAACCAGTTTGCTCAAATGTTGAAATCTGACAAGTAAATATGACTGGAATTAAAGCTGCCTTCTACAATTAGGAAAGTTAGACAGACTGGGTCATGCATATTTTAAAGGATAATTAATGCTTTAAAATAATATATTTTTACAGTCCACATTTATAAGGGACTATTAATTATGGATCTGTTCATCTTTTCAAATGATCAAAACTTTGTAACTTAGAGTCTGATATTTTTCTGTTTTGGTAATGTTATGTGAAATAAACAGAATGGAAAGAAAAATGTTAGAAACAAAAAAGAAAATATAGCTTATTTTATTTCTCACTGAGGAATGCAATTTAGCCTGATTTAAGGCAGAAGTAGAAGATAATTATCTTTTGGCACTAATTTTAATATTTGCAATAAAACAAAAATGATGAACCCTGCATACAGCAGAAAACATTTCCACTGACAGACCCCGCAGACCTTGGATACACCACACACACGCCGGACATAAAACAGACCCGTGTTTAATGGCCAAGGGAGGAAGACAGATTTCTCTCCGAGGAGGAGGGCAATTTGCACTGCTGACAAAACTGTGACTTCTATGTTTTCTCTAGTTCTCCCGCAGTCTAGAAAGACAATAAACACAATGGCTGCAGAGGGGGGAGGCCTGGCCTCAGCTCTGTGGCAAAGGGGCCAGGCCAGGAGTGTCTCCCCCAGGTCTGCAGAGCCCCGCCGGGGACCTTGCCCAGCCAGCGGAAGAGCCGCGCTCTGACTCTGCATCTCCAGCTTTGCATTCTGCCTCTTAAGTACACAGCTCAGGGAGACATCAGCCTCGCACACAGGTTGCCCTCCATGTAATCCAGGAGGACGGAGCCCAGCACCAGGCTGACCGCACTGCATGCCGGTGACCACGGGGTCAGCCAGGGCCAGGGAGCAGAGGGCCAGCTCCCGGTCAGGGCCAGGACTGCCTGTGATGGCCGGGTTGGCGAGGAGAGCCATGCCTGGAGAGGAACCAGAGAGCCATGCCTGGAGAGGAACCAGAGAGCCTGCGGCCCACCACCGCTTCAGAAGCTGCCAGCAGTGCAGGTGTTCCCTCCCGAGGCCTGCGTGTGACCACCTGCCCTGTGTGACCACCTCCCCTGTGTGTGATCCCCTCCCCTGTGTGTGATCCCCTCCCCTGTGTGACCACCTGCCCTGTGTGATCCCCTCCCCTGTGTGATCCCCTCCCCAGGCCTGTGTGTGATCCCCTCCCCTGTGTGTGATCCCCTCCCCTGTGTGTGATCCCCTCCCCTGTGTGACCACCTCCCCTGTGTGATCCCCTCCCCTGTGTGTGACCACCTCCCCTGTGTGTGATCCCCTCCCCTGTGTGACCACCTCCCCTGTGTGATCCCCTCCCCTGTGTGTGACCACCTCCCCTGTGTGTGATCCCCTCCCCTGTGTGACCACCTCCCCTGTGTGATCCCCTCCCCTGTGTGTGACCACCTCCCCTGTGTGTGATCCCCTCCCCTGTGTGACCACCTCCCCTGTGTGATCACCTCCCCTGTGTGATCCCCTCCCCAGGCCTGTGTGTGATCCCCTCCCCCCCCGTGTGTGATCACCTCCCCTGTGTGTGATCCCCTCCCCTGTGTGATCCCCTCCCCTGTGTGATCACCTCCCCTGTGTGTGATCCCCTCCCCTGTGTGATCCCCTCCCCTGTGTGATCACCTCCCCTGTGTGATCCCCTCCCCCTCCCCTGTGTGTGATCCCCTCCCCTGTGTGATCCCCTCCCCTGTGTGATCCCCTCCCCTGTGTGATCCCCTCCCCCTCCCCTGTGTGTGATCCCCTCCCCTGTGTGATCCCCTCCCCTGTGTGTGATCCCCTCCCCTGTGTGATCCCCTCCCCTGTGTGTGATCCCCTCCCCTGTGTGTGATCCCCTCCCCCTCCCCTGTGTGTGATCCCCTCCCTGAGATGCTCCACTGTGGTATTATGACACATGCCTATGTATTCTTTGGATTTCAGCAAGTCATACCATATTATCACAATGCAAATTTGCAAATTAAAAGGAAATGAGACTCAACTGGTGTCTGAAATTCCATGGATCGCAGTGGCCAGAGTGTGAATCCTGAGGGTGCTTGCCATTTCTGCGTGAACACTGAACACAGGATCAAGCCGCTCCATTCTTCTTCCAGTTCCACCCCGGTGTGGGGCACAGATCACATCACAGGCAGGCAGCTGGAGTGCACTGGGGTTTCCCAAGCGCTCCGAGCGCCTGCCGGGCATGAGGTGAGTCGGCGCGGCCAGGCCAGGCCGGGCTCAGCCTGAGTCCGCATGGGTGAGGGAAGCCGAGCTACAAAGGCACCCTGTTCCCAAGCTGCTGGGGTGGCCTGGGCCAGCGCGGGGCCAGTGCGGGGTCAGTGCGGGGCCGGTGCGGGACCAGCGCGGGACGCTCCCACACCAGCCGCTCAAGGTGCTCTAAAAAGGCACCTTTCCAGCGGCGGAATGCACAGACCTGTTTCTTTCCCAAATTAAGTTCAGGTGCTGCCTAGCTGCGGCTCCCATGAAAAGTGTTCCAGAGCCACCAGCACGTCTAGAACGCAGGCCCCTCGTCTCCCTACCCCCAAGCGCGGGCACGTCCTTGAAGGCAGAGCTACTCTGGTCTCCAGCAGCACCCCGCACCCCCTTTACATCACGCCTGCCTGTGGGTAACCCAGTCCTCCGAACACTGATGGACCTCTGACCTTCTCCTAAGTGGGTGTGAAAACGCACCTCAAAGAAAACACAGACAGTAGGATAGCGATGCTGGATGCTCGTGCTTCTAGGCCTCTGCCCTATTTCTCTTCTCTGCGGGAATTTCTTGTAGCCCCTGAGCCAACCTGCCTCAGCAACTGACCACCATTGTAGCCCCTGAGCCAACCTGCCTCAGCAACTGACCACCAAGCTCAGAAGTTCCACGAGATCACAGGAAACATGCAGGCCAGCCACAGAGCACGAAAGCAAAGGCTACAGAAGAAGCTGGCTTCCTTAGACCACCCAACCCCCAGCCGGACTCAGAGCAAGCCCACTGTCCACAGAACATGAGACCACCCAACCCCCAGCCGGACTCAGAGCAAGCCCACCGTCCACAGAACATGAGACCACCCAACCCCCAGCCGGACTCAGAGCAAGCCCACCGTCCACAGAACATGAGACCACCCAACCCCCAGCCGGACTCAGAGCAAGCCCACTGTCCACAGAACATGAGACCACCCAACCCCCAGCCGGACTCAGAGCAAGCCCACTGTCCACAGAACAAGGGGTCCAGTTCACCCGTATGAAGCCCTGACAAACATTGTTTTGTAGCAAACACAATATATACAACTGGGAGGAATAAATTAGCCAAAAATATGGATGTATGGGAAATTAGGGTAAAGGCAAATTCTTACTAACAAAACATAACACACATTCACACTTCATCTCTAGAATTGTAGTTTGTGGCATCAACAGACTATTCCAAATAATGTAGAAAATTCAATAAAAGATACCGAATTGTAAACCGATTCTGATGACAGAGATGACGGAGTGGAGGCCTGAGCTGGGTCAGTGTGCACAGCACTTCCGGGACTCGGGACCAGGGTAAGGACACGCAATGCCCTCAGGGGTTCAGAGTGACAGGGCACCTCTTTTACCTGAATTTTTATTGGTCTTGTTCTGCCGACTTTTCACTTGCTCTGTCCAAAGTGTTGGGTACCGAGACGCGATGTCTGTGAACGAGGTAGAAGTCATGTTACATCCCGAGTGCAAAGCTCCTTCCTCAGCTGAGCTCAGCAGCTGGTCGAAAAGTCAACAAATTAATCTGGTAGAGAAATGCACACCTCACTTTCTAAAGGAAAGGAGACCAAAGGAAACAATAATCCACTCCCTACTCCCATTTCTACTGTTAGCAACAGTTTTCCTCATTGGAAAGTGCAATGAAAAGCTGTTTGAATGCAGCTCCATGTTGAAAGAGCTGGGTACTACAGAAAGATGCTCAGATAAACCCTGCAAAACAAAGGTAGTTACTCCCTTTTTCCCAATGACTATTTATGACTTTATCTCCTTCCTTTTTCTTTTATTACTGTCCTTTGGTAGTTGTACCTAGGAGCTGCCATTTAACATAGCACTTTATGAATACAATACACCTTGGTCCTTGTCACCCACCCCTGCTCATCCCCTCGGCCCTCATCTTAATTGGATTGCTGGCTGCATTCCCCCAATTCTCTTCTTCATCATCCACCTCCTCATTCATCTACCCCTCGGCCCTACCCTGCCCCTTTTCAATACTTGGTTCCTGGTGTTTTATTCTGCTGAACTTTGATTTTGTCTTTCCAAGGAAAGCAATACTTGAGTGAACTATTTGTTAAATGCACTATAACACACATGGCACTGTGAGAATACAGGCTCTGAAGCCTGTTCCGGGGCCTGGGATGTGTCCTGTCTGTGGAATGGGGTTGGAGGGTGTGGGGTGGCGGAGGAGAGCGCACACAGTGCTCTACCACGGTGACAGGAGCCACGCGCCCTCCACGCTCCGATGCATTTGCCGTGGGCATCCCCTGCAAATGCTCTCCAGACCATGACACCACTTGGCCTGAGCAGGGAACCAAGGCCCAAGACAACTACGACAGCAAAATGTAGGAAGTCTGAACTCATGCCCAGCGCTGACAAGATGTGAACGGGAGACGGCGTGGCTCCACACCCCCAGAATATGCATTTATATCGCTCAAACTGGAATTCTCAACCCAGACATTTCTCCACGCAAACGAACAGGCAGTGCTGTGCCACCTGGAAACGCCAAAGCAGCAAACTCGAGGGGCCACAAAGCGGGGGACGGGTGTTCTGTCTTCATAATTAGACACAGGACAGTGAGAAGACCCTGCGGCCCGCAAGTTCACACCTGTGTCGACACACTCCAGGAAGGTTTGTGCACACTTGTGGTTAAGAACCCGATATCGTGCTGGGCACCCGTGGGTCACACCTGTAATCCTAGCTACTCAGGAGGCTGGGATCTGAGGATCGAGGTTTGAAGCCAGCCCCAGCTAAGACTCTATTTCCAATTAACCAATAAAATGAGCTAGAAATGAAGCCAAGTGCCAGTGGCTCACACCTGTAATCCTAGCTACTCAGGAGGCTGAGATCTGAGGATTGTGGTTCAAAGGCAGCCAGAGGAAGGAAAGTTTGTAAGACTCTGGCTCCAGAAAGCCTGAAGTGGAGCTGTGGCTCAAGTGGTAGAGTGCCAGGCTTGAGTGCAAAAGTTCAGGGATGGCGCCCAGGCCCCGAGTTCAAGCCCAGGACTGACCAGATCCTCTTGAGCACTACACTTCATGACCTGACCTGACCTAAGTGCAATTTGGTGTCTTTTGGCCTAATGTTCTTTTCCTCTCACCTACTTCTGTAAACGCTTTCCACTTCCTTGCTGTGTGAGTTTGGGTAAGGAGTTTTCCTTTCTGTATTTTACATAAGAGTGAGACCACATTGACTCTTCTTTGAATGTCTGAGCGCTGAGTGACGTCTTTGTCAGGATGGCCTGTCTCTACTCCTCCCCCCTGACCATCCACCCTGCCCCCGACCGTCCACCCTCCCCCCGAGCATCCATCCTCCCCCCTGACCATCCACCCTCCCCTCGACCGTCCATCCTCCCCCCGACCGTCCATCCTCCCCCCGACCGTCCACCCTCCCCCCTGACCATCCACCCTCCCCCTGACCGTCCACCCTCCCCCCTGACCATCCACCCTCCCCCCGACCGTCCATCCTCCTCCCAACCGTCCACCCTCCCCCCTGACCATCCACCCTCCCCCCGACCGTCCATCCTCCCCCCGACCATCCACCCTCCCCCCAACCATCCACCCTCCCCCCGACCGTCCATCCTCCCCCCGACCGTCCACCCTCCCCCCGACCGTCCACCCTCCCCCCGACCATCCACCCTCCCCCCTGACCATCCACCCTCCCCCCGACCGTCCATCCTCCCTCTGACCGTCCACCCTCCCCCCTGACCATCCACCCTCCCCCTGACCATCCACCCTCCCCCCGACCGTCCATCCTCCCCCCGACCGTCCACCCTCCCCCCGACCATCCACCCTCCCCCCAACCGTCCATCCTCCCCCCAACCATCCATCCTCCCCCCTGACCATCCACCCTCCCCCCGACCGTCCACCCTCCCCCCAACTGTCCATCCTCCCCCCTGACCATCCACCCTGCCCCCGACCATCCACCCTCCCCCTGACCGTCCACCCTCCCCCTGACCGTCCATCCTCCCCCGACCGTCCACCCTCCCCCTGACCGTCCACCCTCCCCCTGACCATCCACCCTCCCCCTGACCGTCCACCCTCCCCCCGACCGTCCATCCTCCCCCGACCGTCCACCCTCCCCCTGACCGTCCACCCTCCCCCCGACCGTCCACCCTCCCCCCTGACCATCCACCCTCCCCCCGACCGTCCACCCTCCCCCCCAACCACCCATCCTCCCTCGACCGCCCACCCTCTCGCCTGACCGTCCACCCTCCCCCCTGACCGTCCACCCTCCCCCCTGACCATCCACCCTCCCCCCGACCGTCCACCCTCCCCTGACTGTCCACCCTCCCCCTGACCGTCCACCCTCCCCCCTGACTGTCTACCCTCCCCCGACCGTCCATCCTCCCCCCGACATCCACCCTCCCCCCGACCACCCTCCCCCCTGACCATCCACCCTCCCCCTGACCATCCACCCTCCCCCCGACCGTCCACCCTCCCCCCCAACCACCCATCCTACCCCCGACCGTCCACCCTCCCCCCAACCACCCATCCTACCCCGACCACGCACCCACCTCCTGACCGTCCACCCTCCCCCTGACCGTCCACCCTCCTCCCTGACCGTCCACCCTCCCCCTGACCGTCCACCCTCCCCCGACCGTCCACCCTCCCCCCGACCGTCCACCCTCCCCCCGACCGTCCACCCTCCCCCCGACCGTCCACCCTTCCCCGACCATCCACCCTCCCCCCACCCACCCACCCACCTCCTGACCGTCCACCCTCCCCCCGACCGTCCACCCTCCCCCCTGACTGTCCACCCTCCCCCTGACCGTCCACCCTCCCCCTGACCATCCACCCACCCCCCAACCGTCCACCCTCCCCCCCGACTGTCCACCCTCCCCCCGACCGTCCACCCTCCCCCCGACCGTCCACCCTCCCCTGACTGTCCACCCTCCCCCCCTCCAGGCCCCGTCCCGCACCCTGGCTCACCTTCTTCGTCTCCTTGAGGCTGAGTCTCCAACGCTGGGGCTGCGGCATCATCTGAATTCAGAACGGAAAAGATTTGCAAGGAGACTACAATTATGAGAGTAAGCTAAGTAAGTGTGCATACAGGTGCTGGGAAAGCCCCCTCGTAGCCAACCACCCCGTACCCAGGCTGGGGCTGCACAGCCACCCAGGAATGACGCAAAGGCTGGGGCGAGGGGCGGGACTGAGACCCCGCACCAAAGCCCTCCGAGCTTGACTGAGGCCCAGCACCAGCCCAGGAGGGAAATGCCAGGTCTGGTTCTGAGCACGGGGCCAGTGTTTGGCAGTAAGATGGTGATGGGCAAGAAAGAGCTGGAAAACCACGCGCAGGGAGCCCCCAGAGGTGCAGGGTGGAGGGTGCGGGGGGGGGGGGGGGGGGAGCCGGAGCAGCCACAGCCAGTGCATTGCATGTCTCTCCCCTGCGTGGCTGAGCCGGGCGGTCCCAGGTGTGAGGGAGCCCGGCCCCTCCCCACGCCTGCACAGCTCCGGGTCCCAGGGAGCCGGGGAGCCCGGGGAGCTGGAGAGCCTGGGAGGAGCTGGGGAGGAGCCGGGGAGGAGCCGGGGAGGAGCGGGGGGAGGGGGGGAAGCCTGGGAGGAGCCGGGGGAGGAGCTGGGGAGCTGGGGAGGAGCCGGGGAGGAGCCAGGGAGGAGCCGGGGAGGAGCCGGGGAGGAGCCGGGGAGGAGCCGGGGGGGAGCCGGGGGGGAGCCGGGGAGGAGCCGGGGAGGAGCCGGGGAGGAGCCGGGGGGGAGCCGGGGGGGAGCCGGGGAGGAGCTGGGGAGGAGCCGGGGAGCCGGGGAGGAGCTGGGGAGGAGCCGGGGAGGAGCCGGGGAGGAGCCGGGGAGGAGCCGGGGAGGAGCTGGGAAGCTGGGGAGGAGCCGGGGAGGAGCCGGGGAGGAGCCAGGGAGGAGCCGGGGAGGAGCCGGGGAGGAGCCGGGGAGGAGCTGGGGAGGAGCCGGGGAGGAGCCGGGGAGGAGCTGGGGAGGAGCCGGGGAGCCGGGGAGGAGCTGGGGAGGAGCCGGGGAGGAGCCGGGGAGGAGCCGGGGAGGAGCTGGGGAGGAGCTGGGGAGCCGAGGAGGAGCTGGGGAGGAGCCGGGGAGCCGGGGAGGAGCTGGGGAGGAGCTGGGGAGGAGCTGGGGAGGAGCCGGGGAGGAGCCGGGGAGGAGCCGGGGAGGAGCTGGGGAGCCGGGGAGGAGCCGGGGAGGAGCTGGGGAGCCGGGGAGGAGCTGGGGAGGAGCTGGGGAGGAGCTGGGGAGGAGCTGGGAAGCTGGGGAGGAGCTGGGGAGGAGCCGGTGAGGAGCCGGGGAGGAGCTGGGGAGGAGCCGGGAGGACTCCCTTCAAATGTACAATTCTTATTTCATGTACCGTGCAGCAGGCCTGGCTCTGATGAAGGCTGAGGATTGAGTGTCCCAGGCATAAGAAGCCAGCGGGGTACTGGGCAGAGAGGAGGCTAGGTGCAGGGCCAGTACGGGAGCGGCTGATAACTTCTCCACCCACAGACCCCTGGGTGCAGGTGGACAGCCTGGCCTGGGTGGCCGGGCAGAGGCTGGGCTGCCCAAGGGTCACTTCCCCCAAGGTCACCGCCCAAGGGTCACCTCCTCCAAGGTCACCGCCCAAGGGTCACCTCCCCAAAGGTCACCACCCAAGGGTCACCTCCCCAAAGGTCACCGCCCGAGGGTCTCCCCCAAGGTCACTCTTGCTCAAGATGACACAGCCCTCACCCAGCCTTCTGCGGCTCTGCTCCCCACTTCACTGCGGGAAGCCGCGAGCACTGGTCCATCCCAAGTATGCCCTCTTCCAGAAACCACCTAGCAGCCCTATGTCCTCGTGAGTGCTCCCCACACGGCCCACGCTGCCGAGTGCTCCCCCCACGGCCCACGCTGCCGAGTGCTCCCCACACGGCCCACGCTGCCCCAGTGCTCCCCACACGGCCCACGCTGCCCCAGTGCTCCCCACACGGCCCACGCTGCCGAGTGCTCCCCACACGGCCCACGCTGCCGAGTGCTCCCCACACGGCCCACGCTGCCGAGTGCTCCCCCCACGGCCCACGCTGCCCCAGTGCTCCCCACACGGCCCACGCTGCCCCAGTGCTCCCCACACGGCCCACGCTGCCCCAGTGCTCCCCACACGGCCCACGCTGCCCCAGTGCTCCCCACACGGCCCACGCTGCCGAGTGCTCCCCCCACGGCCCACGCTGCCGAGTGCTCCCCCCACGGCCCACGCTGCCGAGTGCTCCCCCCACGGCCCACGCTGCCCCAGTGCTCCCCACACGGCCCACGCTGCCCCAGTGCTCCCCACACGGCCCACGCTGCCGAGTGCTCCCCCCACGGCCCACGCTGCCCCAATGCTCCCCCCACGGCCCACGCTGCCCCAGTGCTCCCCACACGGCCCACGCTGCCAAGTGCTCCCCACACGGCCCACGCTGCCCCAGTGCTCCCCACACGGCCCACGCTGCCCCAGTGCTCCCCACACGGCCCACGCTGCCGAGTGCTCCCCACACGGCCCACGCTGCCGAGTGCTCCCCCCACGGCCCACGCTGCTGAGTGCTCCCCACACGGCCCACGCTGCCCCAGTGCTCCCCACACGGCCCACGCTGCCCCAGTGCTCCCCACACGGCCCACGCTGCCGAGTGCTCCCCACACGGCCCACGCTGCCCCAGTGCTCCCCACACGGCCCACGCTGCCCCAGTGCTCCCCACACGGCCCACGCTGCCGAGTGCTCCCCCCACGGCCCACGCTGCCCCAGTGCTCCCCACACGGCCCACGCTGCCGAGTGCTCCCCACACGGCCCACGCTGCCGAGTGCTCCGCACACGGCCCACGCTGCCGAGTGCTCCCCCCACGGCCCACGCTGCCCCAGTGCTCCCCACACGGCCCACGCTGCCGAGTGCTCCCCACACGGCCCACGCTGCCCCAGTGCTCCCCACACGGCCCACGCTGCCCCAGTGCTCCCCACACGGCCCACGCTGCCGAGTGCTCCCCACACGGCCCACGCTGCCCCAGTGCTCCCCACACGGCCCACGCTGCCGAGTGCTCCGCACACGGCCCACGCTGCCCCAGTGCTCCCCACACGGCCCACGCTGCCCCAGTGCTCCCCACACGGCCCACGCTGCCCCAGTGCTCCCCACACGGCCCACGCTGCCCCAGTGCTCCCCACACGGCCCACGCTGCCCCAGTGCTCCCCACACGGCCCACGCTGCCCCAGTGCTCCCCACACGGCCACGCTGCCCCAGTGCTCCCCACACGGCCCACGCTGCCCCAGTGCTCCCCACACGGCCCACGCTGCCGAGTGCTCCCCACACGGCCCACGCTGCCGAGTGCTCCCCACACGGGCCACGCTGCCCCAGTGCTCCCCACACGGCCCACGCTGCCTTTCTACCCCCACAGGGGCATTAAGAATGCACAGGTCCCCTTGGAAGTAGCAGGTCCTCCAGAGTCTCAGGCTACGCGTCTGGAATGGAGCTAAATAAAGCTCTGGTATATTTAAATTTGTATTACTTCTCTGTGCCGTCGACTCAGTGTGTTATGAAAGATGTCTATGATTTTGGCACTAAAGCCTAATTTTGTTTCATCATGAAGTTAATGTAAAGGTCAGTAGCAACACTGCAGCCTACAGTCCCATGTGGAGCAAAGCTGCTGGCCCTCCGCACGCCCAACAGGTACCTCCCACACTGCAGCCACTGACACACAGAGAGCGTCACCTGACCGGTGCACCTGGGCCCCTGCCGCCCGTGCCCACGGGCACCGGCAGAGGCCAGGATGGACACGTGTGTGTAGAACGGATAAAGAACTCTCCGGCTGTCTGAGCATCCATCCTTATTACCAGTACATGTTCAAGTTTTAACTCAAAAAGTTATTCCACGACAACAGAATTTGCATTAGCGACTATAATCATCGTGCAAATTCATTTTGAGATAATTACCTGCTTTTCCTGTGCCTTCCCGTTGGGGTAATTTTTCATTTACAGAACCTAAAAGAGGACATGAAGAAATAGAATTATTTTTGCTTGTCAAATCGTTTTGAATATAAGCAATGTGACTGTCGGGCACTGGAGGCTCATGCCTGTCACCCCAGCTGCTCACGCTGAGATCTGAGGATCACTGCTTGAAGCCAGCCTGGGCAGGAGAGTCCCAGTCTGAGACTCTTCAATAAATGACTCAGATAAAGCTAGATGTGGTGCTGTGGCTCAAGTGATGAAGCACTAGCCTTGAGCAAAAGACTCTCAGGGACAGTTCCCAGGCCACAGGTGCACACAAATGTGCGTGCACGCACATGCGTGCACACACACACACACATGAAATGTAACTATTTTATTCCATGTTGATTACTCCACAGCACTCTGCCTTCCTAATCGAATTATGCAAGTCTGATAGTATGACAGTACCTGCGGGGCAGTACCGCCGCGGCGGCCTGGCCACACAGCCAGGGCAGCCGAGAGGCTGCGCACGCAACACCCTTCAGCTGGACCCTCAGTGGACCTCAGGTGGACACAGGGCTGATTTTTCACCCAAAAGTGTCAGGTGCACACAAATGAAAGCAAATGTAAACGACCCTTCAAAAATAAAAACATAGGCTGCTGGAGGTATTTGAAGGCCCTGATTTGGGCTGTGGGCATCAGTACAGCGGCTGAGCGGCCACTGGCATGCGTAAGGCCCTGGGCTCGAGCCCCAGCAGCAGAAGAAAACGGTTCCAGTTGCCTTTCAGAAAAGAACATTGCAGGGCTGATGCGTTGAAGAGGGCTATCGGTCACTTGGTGACCACGTGGTTTGTGAGGGAATTCTAGCGTTACACAAGAGGACAGATGGACATCAGGACTCCAGGCACCGCACCGAACCGGCATGGTCCCCACACGTGAGCAGGGAAGTAGGAAAAGCCCCGGGCAGATCTAACCGTGCTGGGCCAGGACCTCAGCAAACACCTTCCAACACGACGTGTACCCTTGTCTGAATGGGGCCCTCACTGCAGCTTTATGCTATCTTAAAACTGTGTTTTGTTTCTTTTAGCATATTAAATGCAAGGCCAACGTCCAAACACCGAGGATGGAGATGGAGTGGGGCCTGGGGGCCCTGCCAGAGCCCTGCCTCACACACTGGGACGTGGGTCAGGCCGGGCCGTGACCCAGCCAGGCCAGGGCCCCATGCAGTGGGCAGGCCAGCCCACGGGCTGGCCACCCACCACACAGGTGTGCACATGAGGACACATCTATGCGTGAGTGTAGAAGGAGCTGAATCTTCCAGACCGTGCGCTCCCCTCCGCCTGGCGTGCTTCCTAACACAGGCTGTGCTCGTCTCCAGGCTGTTCTGTTGGGAGAGCCGGCGCAGAGCACAGGCTCAGAGCAGTTTCACTGGTGACAAAACTCACCGAGGACCACAGGAGACCTTCTGAACCACAGTCCCGCCTCCCCCAGGGCCGCCTCCGTGCACGCCTGGCTGAAGGCCCCACGTTTCACACTGATTCATACATACGTATTGTGTTTTGCTGCAATGAGTCAAAGCAGTTTGCTGCTTTGGACTGGAAATGGCAGTATTTCGGTAATAATTCTGAACCCAAGTATGTGGGTCTTCATTTGTGAGTGAAATAGAAATATGCTAAGTCGTAATTAGACTGCCCCCGTGGGAGAACTTTATGATTGAATTAAGATAATGTTTGATAATCTGAGGACACAGAAGTATAAACTGTCAACAGGAAATTTGATTAGAGATCGAGATAGGAAGGCAACACAGTTTCCCCCCTCCCGTCCCCCCATGGCCTTTCTCTCATTGAACATCCAACTTGGCTTGCTCACGGCCCTTGAATTCAGTCAGCATTAACTAAATCCACACAAAATAACTGCAGCTTGTTCTTCGTGTGGAAGAGAGAACTTCGCAATAGAACCAGAGTCCCTTCACCCAGGCCTGTGGCAAACACTGTGCCGCGTGGAGCTCCGTCTCCTGACCCAGCAGCCTCCCCTGGAAGGTGCCAGAACTTCCTTTCCCAGCAGCCACAGCCTTCAAACCCAAGGACTATAGAACCAAAAATAGCTCTTGGCTCCCCAGAGTTCCCACACGCACTGGGGTGCAAGGGCCACGCATCAAGCTCTGTGAGGTATTGCTGCTACGCAGGGTCCTCAGACCAGTGCCCCGAAGGGCATAACCAGGGGTTTCCAGTTGTGAGCGCTTGTCCCACTGGAGGGTCAAGGGAAGGGTGGCTCTTCCCGCCCTGGCGTGTGCCAAGGAGGGCCCAGAATCCACACTGGAGAGCGTGCGTGCTTCCAGAAGGAAGAGGTAACACGCTCTCAGCCCTGTCATTCCAGGCACGAGGTTCAAAGCCAGCCACACCCAGCGAACACAAAGGGCTGTGGACAGGCGGCCCCACAGAGTGGGCCGTGTTCTGCGGAAAGAGCCATCACGCACTCGAAAAACAGGCAGGCGCTGGGGCGTGGGCCACTGGGGCGCAGGTGGAGGCCCCACCGATGGAGCCCCGAGGACGGACAGCCACGGGGCACGGGAGGCTGGACCGCCTGCCTGTGTCCCTGGGGCCTTCCCAGAGCACCCCTCATTCTGTAACAGCACGAGGACGGAGAGAACGGCTCCAGCCCCCAGGCAGGGCACGGGGAAGATGGGCTGGGCTCTGGATGAACCTCCTCCTCTCTCTGTCTATCATTCTCCCTCTCTCTTTCTCTCCCTCTCCTCCTCCCTCTCCCCCTCTCCCCCTTTCCCTCTACTCCTCTCCCTCTCCTTCCTTCCCCCCTCTCTTCCTCTCCCCACCCCCTGCCCCCCCTACCCCCGCGCCTGCCCCCCGCCCCCCGCCCCTGCCCCACCGCCCCCCACCCCTGCCCCCCGCCCCTGCCCCCCCGCCCCCCCGCCCCTGCCCCCCGCCCCTGTCCTGCTGCCCCCCCACGCCTGCCCCTGTCCTCCTGCCCCCCTACCCCCCTGCCCCTGTCCCCCCGCCCCTGCCCACCGCCCCGCTGCCCCCCTGCCCCTGTCCTCCTGCCCCCCGCCCCCCTGTCCCCGTCCTCCTGCCCCTGTCCTCCTGCCCCCGCCCCCCGCCCCCACCCCCCACCCCCCGCCCCCCCCGCCCCCCGCCCCTGCCCCCCGCCCCCCACCCCCCCGCCCCCCGCCCCCCCGCCCCCCCGCCCCTGCCCCCCCGCCCCCTGCCCCCCGCCCCTGCCCCACCGCCCCCCGCCCCTGCCCCCCGCCCCTGCCCCCCCGCCCCCCGCCCCTGCCCCACCGCCCCCGCCCCTGCCCCCCGCCCCTGCCCCCCCGCCCCCCGCCCCTGCCCCACTGCCCCCCGCCCCCCGCCCCCCGCCCCTGCCCCCCCGCCCCCCGCCCCTGCCCCCCGCCCTCTTGCCCCCTGCCCCCCTTTCCTCCACCCTCCGACCCCCTGCCCCCCCTTTCCCCCTGCCCTCCTGCCCACCTCCTCTCCTCTCCTCTCCTGCTCCCCTGCCCTCCTGCTCCCTGCCCCCCTTTCCCCCCGCCCTCCTGCCCTCCTGCTCCCTGCCCCCCTTTCCCCCACCCTCCGACCCCCTGCCCCCCTTTCCTCCTGCCCTCCTGCCCACCTCCTCTCCTCCTCTCCTGCTCCCCTGCTCTCCTGCTCTCCAGCATGAAAGGCCTCCAGGAAACACAAGGGAGATTGAATCTGAAGTCGACCCTCCTTAAGAACTCTGGTGAACACCACTCCTGCGGCTTTCCTATGGCCACAGGCAGCTGGTGAGCGGAGGGCGAGGACGCACCCACACGGTGCGCTTCCTGAGGTTCGCAGAGACAAGGGGTTCTGCGCTCCAGTATCTGGGATTCCAGGCGTGAATCGCAGAGCCCAGCTGACGCTAGACGTTTACACAAACAGACAGATACTCTTTTCCCTAATCCATTCCTTGGCCCTAGATAATCAGTGCAAGCAATGAAGCGCAGTGTTAATGAGGAAAAGCACTGGGAGCGGAAAGGCCAGTGGGTGGTTCTGGAGGCAAGGCAGTATCCAGACACGGTGCAGATCTCACTGATTCTGCACACAATTTTCTTAGAAAGCTTCTTGTGCGGAAGACACTTTCCCTAGTGTCCCTAAGAGAGAGTGAGCTGTCCTCACCACGGCCGCTCTGCTCTGCAGGGGAAGTGGAACTGGGGGAGAAAGGATCGTTCAGCAGCAGGCAGCTCAGCACCGCGTGCTTTCCTTTCTTTCTGTCACAAGTTCACAAAACAACTATCAGGTATCAGCTTTTTTTAGGTCTTGAACAACACAGTAGTTTGACAAACAGTAAGTACATTTCGCTTCCTCACAGCACAGCGCACATGCTTACGGCAGATGGCAGTCCACTGCGTAAGGAGCCACTTGCAGCAAGTTCTCGATGCAGACGCTTCAATACTTCAGGAAAAGCTCGGGAAAATGTGTCGCCCTTTGTTTTTGTCACAGTTTTGTGCTATCCTGGCTGAGTATTACCACGTGGGGCTTTTGCGGGTCAGATCACTGTCTCCCCGGAAGGGCTGACAGGCTGCCCAGGGAGCCATCCACCCCGAGCCCTGGGTGGAACTGGAGCGCCCGGCTGAGGGAGGGAGGGAAGCCAAGGTCCAAAGCCAAGCATCAAAAACATTCAGTCATTTGTGAACTTAGACCTACGAGGAGGAGAAGATGACGAAGATGAAGAATTAGATTTGACACGAATATCAGGAAAATTGGGGATTCACAGGAGGGGAGGAAGGGCACTAACGATGAAGGAGATCACAGCATGACACACGCACGTGTATATGTACGTATGAATTGGCATCATAAGACCCACCATTGTTTGCAAAAGGGGCAGGAGATGTACTGGAGGTAAACCTGTCTAAGATATATGTATGTATCTATGGAATTATCACTAGGAAATCCCGTTGGTATGGGAGCAATTACCATATTAATGTCTAATTAAAAATTTAGTAATAGCAGAATCACAGGTAGCCCTTTCTAGCAAAATATTAAGGGAGACGCCATTGTATAGATTAGTATCCCGCCTATTTCACTTGTTTTTGGTACACCAAGTGGTCCTATGAGTAATAAGACCACTCCAACAAGCCACATAGAAACTGGCCTAGGAAGCACAGTCCATGTGTTATACACAAAATTAACATTTTTACACTCTGGCCAAAGGAAACGTGTCACGTCCACTGGTAACTTCAGCCTCTGTGGTTATATTTTAAAATGAAGATGGCCAAATCATCGTAACCTTCCAGAGTTCAGATGAGGTGTCTTCCTCTTGTGAGCCACCTAGATCTGTGTTTTCTCCCTCAAAATCAACCTCAAATAGTACATGTGATGCTTTGTCCAGTGACCCGGTCCCTTCTCACCGCCACCCACCGTCCACCGTCCTCCAGAACGGAACGGACATCCACAAGACCACTGCAAGGGGACAAGCACACGGGTCTGCGTGGAGGCAGAGGCAGAGGAGACCTACCCGGGCATCTGGGCGTCTTGTGGGCCACAGCGGTGCCGCTGATGGGCCTTCCGTTGGGTGTGACACACCAGCAATACCCTGTGTAGCTGTGGCACTGGACCTGTGGAGAAAGAACAGGCCGATGTGGCCACGCTGCCACGTGCCAGCCGACTCCAGGCCTGCGGCCACCTGGAGTGGCCACGCTGCCACGTGCCAGCCAACTACAGGCCTGCGACCACCTGGAGTGGCCACGCTGCCACGTGCCAGCCGACTCCAGGCTTGCCTGGAGTGGCCACGCTGCCACGTGCCAGCCAACTCCAGGCCTGCGGCCACCTGGAGTGGCCACGCTGCCACATGCAAGCAGACTGGAGGCCTGCGGCCACCTGGAGTGGCCACGCTGCCACGTGCAAGCAGACTCCAGGCCTGCGGCCACCTGGAGTGGCCACACTGCCACGTGCCAGCCGACTACAGGCCTGCGGCCACCTGGAGTGGCCATGCTGCCACGTGCAAGCAGACTCCAGGCCTGCGGCCACCTGGAGTGACCACGCTGCCACGTGCGAGCAGACTGGAGGCCTGCAGCCACCTGGAGTGGCCATGCTGCCACGTGCAAGCAGACTACAGGCCTGCGGCCACCTGGAGTGGCCATGCTGCCACATGCAAGCAGACTGGAGGCCTGCAGCCACCTGGAGTGGCCACGCTGCCACATGCAAGCAGACTGGAGGCCTGCGGCCACCTGGAGTGGCCACGCTGCCACGTGCAAGCAGACTCCAGGCCTGCGGCCACCTGGCGGCTCTGAGAGCCGCGTCTGCACATGCTATCGAAGGCCACATCCACACTCGCTCCTCAAGTACAGAAGGGACAGAGCCACGTGCAGCACCAGCCTGGCCATCCCCACAGGGCTCAGCCTCCACCATACAGCCTGGAAACGTGAATGGGAGGCCCAGCCTTTCCACTGGCCTGTGGCAGACTCAGGGAGAGGGGCTGGGCGTCCAGAGCCAGGGACGGTCTGCCTCCGCGGAGCCCCTCAATGACCACAGGGAGGGGCCTTGTGCCGCCCCTCCCCTCCTCACCCTCCCAGGGTGAGGGCTCAGGACTCCCTGGCACTGCCCCAGGCCGGGCGACAGGTGGGACCGCGTGGCTGGCCAGCGAGTCTACAGCGGTGCTATTCCCCCAGAGCTGCCCACTCATGAGAAACCGCAGGGCCGACTCTCACCAAACAGAGCCAAATGACAACTGCAGCTGCCATCCACCCAGCCGCGGCCCCTTCCACGGCCCGTCACCATGCTGCTCCTGGCCCTGACCTCACGCTCTCGGCACGTGTTCCTAATTAGACCTCAGCTCTGTGTCAGGCCGACGAATCTAACTCCCCAGTGGGGAAATGGCGCTGAGCCTCACACCCAGCACCGTGGAGGGCATGCCCGCAGTGTGCCTGGAGCCTCGAACCCGTGTCACCAGCCGTGTGTGACGCACAGGGGACGGGAGCTTTGTTCCCATGTCACACCAGGAGATTCCCCTGGGATGTGACAGCTGACTCCTCCTCCCGGCTCACACCCACACCTCAGCACACCCACCCCCAGCACACCCCAGCACACCCACACCCCAGCACACCCACACCCCAGCACACCCACCCCCAGCACACTCACCCCCAGCACACCCACCCCCCAGCACACCCACCCCCCAGCACACCCACCCCCCAGCACACCCACCCCCCAGCACACACCATGGCCCATGCCACGGCCCACGCCACAGCTCATGCCACGGCCCACATCCCGTGCCCCTGCGCCCCAGCGCGCCCGCGCCCCATGCGTTGGCCCGCGCCCCAGCACACCCACGCCCCAGCGCGCCCGCGCCCCAGCGCACCCGCGCCCCATGCGTTGGCCCGCGCCCCAGCGCACCCGCGCCCCAGCGCACCCGCGCCCCATGCATTGGCCCGCGCCCCAGCGCACCCGCGCCCCAGCGCACCCACGCCCCAGCGCACCCGCGCCCCATGCGTTGGCCCACGCCCCAGCGCACCCGCGCCCCAGCGCACCCACGCCCCAGCGCGCCCACGCCCCAGCGCACCCGCGCCCCATGCGTTGGCCCGCGCCCCAGCGCACCCGCGCCCCAGCGCACCCGCGCCCCATGCGTTGGCCCGCGCCCCAGCGCACCCGCGCCCCAGCGCACCCGCGCCCCATGCGTTGGCCCGCGCCCCAGCACACCCACGCCCACATCCCATGCGTTGGCCCGCGCCCCATCACACCCATGCCCACATCCCATGCGTTGGCCCGCGCCCCAGCGCGCCCGTGCCCCATGCGTTGGCCCGCGCCCCAGCACACCCGCGCCCCAGCGCACCCGCGCCCCAGCGCACCCGCGCCCCATGCATTGGCCCGTGCCCCAGCGCCCCCGCTCCCCGCGAGGTGAGTCACCTGGCTATAGGTGCCGTCATCACTGCACTCGGGGATGAACACCTGCTGGAACTCCTTCCGGGCTTGCTCCTGGGTGTATTTCCTCTCTGCCACACACCTGGACACATCTGTGGGGCAGAATGGGCAGGGCCGTCACAAGCCAGGAGCTAGGAGCTGAGGGGACAGACATCTGGAGACGCATAGGTATGAAGTACAGAGGAGGGGCTGGGGAGGCCGGAGGGGACAGGGAGGCTGGAGGGGACAGGGAGGCCGGAGGGGACAGGGAGGCTGGAGGGAGGCAGGGAGGCTGGAGGGGGACCAGGAGGCCGGAGGGAGGAGCGGAGGACAGGAAGGCAGGAGGGGGATTGGGAGGCCGGAGGGGACAGGGAGGCTGGAGGGAGGCAGGGAGGCCAGACAGGACAGGGAGGCTGGAGGAAGGCAGGGAGGCTGGAGGGGGACCAGGAGGCCGGAAGAGCTTCTCAGCAGGAAGCGCGTCCTGGAACGCAGCCTTGCTGTGTCCTGACAGGGACTGGTGTGGTGGGACTGGGGCCATCTGCTCTCTTCCAGATTCTGAAGCATCTCACAGAGTAGCTTCCCCAGCGAGATATGGGTCCAGGCCACGAGTGAGAGGGAAACTGAGGTGTGGGAAAGACTCCAGAGCACGGCTGTGGACGCAGGCTCTGACTGAAGACCAGAGGCCAGCTCCAGCCACGGGCAGCTCCGAGAGGCCGGCTCCAGCCACGGGCAGCTCCGAGAGGCCGGCTCCAGCCACGAGCAGCTCCGAGAGGCCGGCTCCAGCCACGGGCAGCTCCGCTGGGGGCCAGGACACCCCCTGGCACCCAGACACATTTGAGTGGAAGCAGAGGACAGTCACACTCGGCCTGGGGGGTGTGGAGGACAGTCGTGGGGGACAGTCATGGAGGACAGTCGTGGGGGACAGTCATGGAGGACAGTCGTGGGGGACAGTCATGGGGGACAGTCGTGGGGGACAGTCATGGGGGACAGTCGTGGGGTCAGTCGTGGGGGACAGTCGTGGGGAACAGTCATGGGGGACAGTCATGGGGGGCAGTCATGGAGGACAGTCGTGGGGGACAGTCATGGGGACAGTCATGGGGGACAGTCATGGAGGACAGTCATGGGGGACAGTCGTGGGGGACAGTCATGGGGTCAGTTGTGGGGGACAGTCGTGGAGGACAGTCATGGAGGACAGTCATGGGGACAGTCGTGGGGGGCAGTAATGGGGGTCAGTCGTGGGGGACAGTCGTGGGGGACAGTCGTGGAGGACAGTCATGGGGACAGTCGTGGGGGGCAGTCATGGGGGACAGTCGTGGAGGACAGTCGTGGGGGACAGTCATGGGGGACAGTCATGGGGACAGTCGTGGGGGACAGTCGTGGGGGACAGTCGTGGGGTCAGTCGTGGAGGACAGTCATGGGGGACAGTCGTGGAGGACAGTCATGGAGGACAGTCATGGGGGACAGTCGTGGGGGACAGTCGTGGGGGACAGTCGTGGGGGACAGTCGTGGAGGACAGTCATGGAGGACAGTCGTGGGGGGCAGTCGTGGGGGACAGTCGTGGGGGACAGTCGTGGGGGACAGTCATGGGGGACAGTCATGGAGGACAGTCGTGGGGGACAGTCGTGGAGGACAGTCATGGGGTCAGTCGTGGGGGACAGTCGTGGGGGACAGTCATGGGGTCAGTCGTGGGGGACAGTCGTGGGGGACAGTCATGGAGGACAGTCATGGAGGACAGTCGTGGGGGACAGTCGTGGGGGACAGTCGTGGGGGACAGTCGTGGGGGACAGTCATGGGGGACAGTCATGGAGGACAGTCATGGGGGACAGTCGTGGAGGACAGTCGTGGGGTCAGTCGTGGGGGACAGTCGTGGGGGACAGTCGTGGAGGACAGTCATGGGAGACAGTCGTGGAGGACAGTCGTGGGGGACAGTCGTGGGGGACAGTCATGGGGGACAGTCATGGGGGACAGTCGTGGGGGACAGTCGTGGGGTCAGTCGTGGGGGACAGTCGTGGGGGACAGTCGTGGAGGACAGTCATGGGGTCAGTCGTGGGGGACAGTCGTGGGGACAGTCGTGGGGTGAGTCGTGGGGTCAGTCGTGGGGGACAGTCGTGGAGGACAGTCGTGGAGGACAGTCGTGGAGGACAGTCGTGGGGGACAGTCGTGGAGGACAGTCGTGGGGTCAGTCGTGGGGGACAGCCGTGGGGGACAGTCGTGGGGGACAGTCGTGGGGGACAGTCATGGGGGACAGTCATGGGGACAGTCATGGGGGACAGTCGTGGGGTCAGTCGTGGGGTCAGTCGTGGGGGACAGTCGTGGAGGACAGTCGTGGAGGACAGTCGTGGGGTCAGTCGTGGGGGACAGTCGTGGGGGACAGTCGTGGGGGACAGTCGTGGGGGACAGTCGTGGGGGACAGTCGTGGAGGACAGTCGTGGGGGACAGTCGTGGGGGACAGTCATGGAGGACAGTCGTGAAGGACAGTCGTGGGGTCAGTCGTGGGGGACAGTCGTGGGGGACAGTCGTGGAGGACAGTCGTGGAGGACAGTCGTGGGGGGCAGTCGTGGGGGACAGTCGTGGGGGAGAGTCGTGGGGGACAGTCGTGGGGGACAGTCATGGGGGACAGTCGTGGGGGACAGTCGTGGGGTCAGTCGTGGGGGACAGTCGTGGGGGACAGTCGTGGGGGACAGTCGTGGAGTCAGTCGTGGAGGACAGTCGTGGAGGACAGTCGTGGAGGACAGTCGTGGGGTCAGTCGTGGGGGACAGTCGTGGGGGACAGTCGTGGGGGACAGTCGTGGGGGACAGTCGTGGGGTCAGTCGTGGGGGTCAGTCATGGAGGACAGTCGTGGGGGACAGTCGTGGAGGACAGTCATGGGGTCAGTCGTGGGGGACAGTCGTGGGGGACAGTTGTGGGGGACAGTCATGGGGTCAGTCGTGGGGGTCAGTCGTGGAGGACAGTCGTGGGGGACAGTCGTGGAGGACAGTCGTGGGGTCAGTCGTGGGGGACAGTCGTGGGGGACAGTCATGGGGGACAGTCGTGGGGGACAGTCATGGAGGACAGTCATGGGGTCAGTCGTGGGGGACAGTCGTGGAGGACAGTCGTGGGGGGCAGTCGTGGGGGACAGTCGTGGGGGACAGTCGTGGGGGACAGTCGTGGGGGACAGTCGTGGAGGACAGTCATGGGGTCCGTCGTGGGGGACAGTCGTGGGGGACAGTCGTGGGGGACAGTCATGGGGGACAGTCATGGGGGACAGTCGTGGAGGACAGTCGTGGGGGACAGTCGTGGGGGACAGTCATGGAGACAGTCATGGGGGACAGTCATGGGGGACAGTCGTGGGGGACAGTCGTGGGGTCAGTCGTGGGGGACAGTCGTGGGGGACAGTCGTGGAGGACAGTCGTGGGGGACAGTCGTGGGGGACAGTCGTGGGGGACAGTCATGGAGGACAGTCGTGAAGGACAGTCGTGGGGTCAGTCGTGGGGGACAGTCGTGGGGGACAGTCGTGGAGGACAGTCGTGGAGGACAGTCGTGGGGGGCAGTCGTGGGGGACAGTCGTGGGGGAGAGTCGTGGGGGACAGTCGTGGGGGACAGTCGTGGGGGACAGTCGTGGGGGACAGTCGTGGAGGACAGTCATGGGGTCAGTCGTGGGGGACAGTCGTGGGGGACAGTCGTGGGGGACAGTCATGGGGGACAGTCATGGGGGACAGTCGTGGAGGACAGTCGTGGGGGACAGTCGTGGGGGACAGTCATGGAGACAGTCATGGGGGACAGTCATGGGGGACAGTCGTGGGGGACAGTCGTGGGGTCAGTCGTGGGGGACAGTCGTGGGGGACAGTCGTGGAGGACAGTCGTGGGGGACAGTCATGGGGACAATCATGAGGGACTGTCATGGGGTCAGTCGTGGGGGACAGTCGTGGGGGACTGTCATGGGGTCAGTCGTGGGGGACAGTCGTGGGGGACAGTCGTGGAGGACAGTCGTGGGGGACAGTCGTGGGGGACAGTCGTGGGGGACAGTCGTGGGGTCAGTCGTGGGGGACAGTCGTGGGGGACAGTCGTGGAGGACAGTCGTGGGGGACAGTCGTGGGGGACAGTCGTGGGGGACAGTCGTGGAGGACAGTCGTGAAGGACAGTCGTGGGGTCAGTCGTGGGGGACAGTCGTGGGGGACAGTCGTGGAGGACAGTCGTGGAGGACAGTCGTGGGGGGCAGTCGTGGGGGACAGTCGTGGGGGAGAGTTGTGGGGGACAGTCGTGGGGGACAGTCATGGGGGACAGTCGTGGGGGACAGTCGTGGGGTCAGTCGTGGGGGACAGTCGTGGGGGACAGTCGTGGGGGACAGTCGTGGAGTCAGTCGTGGAGGACAGTCGTGGAGGACAGTCGTGGGGTCAGTCGTGGGGGACAGTCGTGGGGGACAGTCGTGGGGGACAGTCGTGGGGGACAGTCGTGGGGTCAGTCGTGGGGGTCAGTCATGGAGGACAGTCGTGGGGGACAGTCGTGGAGGACAGTCATGGGGTCAGTCGTGGGGGACAGTCGTGGGGGACAGTTGTGGGGGACAGTCATGGGGTCAGTCGTGGGGGTCAGTCGTGGAGGACAGTCGTGGGGGACAGTCGTGGAGGACAGTCGTGGGGTCAGTCCTGGGGGACAGTCGTGGGGGACAGTCATGGGGGACAGTCGTGGGGGACAGTCATGGAGGACAGTCATGGGGTCAGTCGTGGGGGACAGTCGTGGGGGACAGTCGTGGGGGACAGTCGTGGAGGACAGTCGTGGGGGGCAGTCGTGGGGGACAGTCGTGGGGGACAGTCGTGGGGGACAGTCGTGGGAGACAGTCGTGGAGGACAGTCATGGGGTCAGTCGTGGGGGACAGTCGTGGGGGACAGTCATGGGGGACAGTCATGGGGGACAGTCGTGGGGGACAGTCGTGGAGGACAGTCGTGGGGGACAGTCGTGGGGGACAGTCATGGAGACAGTCATGGGGGACAGTCATGGGGGACAGTCGTGGGGGACAGTCGTGGGGTCAGTCGTGGGGGACAGTCGTGGGGGACAGTCGTGGAGGACAGTCGTGGGGGACAGTCATGGGGACAATCATGAGGGACTGTCATGGGGTCAGTCGTGGGGTCAGTCGTG